GCCGAAGCAGCGGATGTCACGCTGTTCGGCGGACCCGAGTTCCATAGGAACTGGTCCGTTGGGGCTCGTTCGACCCGGAGTCGATAAGGAGCTCCCAAGCCACGCTGAGGCCGGCGTATGCGCCCGGCGATGGCTGTACTCTTCCTGAAGAGCCACTTGAATCGCCTCTTCAAGGGTGCTTGACTGCACCCGGAACAGCTGAGTGCACGCTGGGCCCACTTGAAGGCCGTCCATGAACACTGTCATCTTGATGTGGGTTTCCCACTAGGGACGCCGTGAGCTCCCGTATTTCTTGGACGTACTCATGCAGCTCACGCCTCCCTTGCTTGCACGAGAGGAAGCGCGAGCGCTGGCGGTACTCATAGTTCACCAGAAGGAACGCGGCTCGGAGTTGTTCACACAGCTGAGCCCAGGAGTGAAACATCCAGGGGATTTTGCCTCCCGTGTGTACACCCAACTCTTAGCACGGCCGCTAAGGCTGAATAGTGTAAAAGCAACACCAAATTGCTCGGTCGAGATCAGAGCCGCGATCATCGCGAGCTTTACTTCTCGGACCCAGACGTGAAGGTTCTCACCTTCCTTCCCTTCATACGGCTTAACCTTCAGCCGTATTGGCTTCGGGTGAGGCGGATTCGCTTCCGCCGCCGGAGATAGCAGGTTCTCCCGCACATGCGCGATGAGCCCTTGCTCGTACGCGTCAGACGCATTGACGCGCTCGAGGTACTGGGCCGGTGTTGACACCACCAGGCTCATCAGTGCCTCCATTTCGAAGATGCCTGCCATCTTCTGAGCCGACTCGAACTGTGAGTCGTTCATACGGGAGAAGTCGCTCCTATCCATGACAACAAACTTTGGAGAGGTTCAGGTAGTCTACCCGCGGTGGCGTGGATTGACTACGAGTGCTACCAAGTGTGACGGGGTCCAACAGCACCTTGCGCTAGAGGAAGTTAGCTTCCGAGAGCCCAGTGAACGGCAGCCCACAGGTCCCCTTTTATCGAAAAAGGAGCGAAGTGACCTATTTTAGGTAGAATGTAAGCTGAGTATATTTATAGGTAGATAAAGCTTGGGTTTAATACAAACTATAAGTCACCTATAGAAAAGCAATGTCATCAGCCAATGGTTGGCTTTGGACGACCTTGGTACCTTGTACCAAATATCCCGAAGTATTACATGTCATACTTCATGTAAGTAGGGGTACAATAAGAGCTACGTACCCCGTTACAGTAATCCACAAAGCGTAATTTCCTTTCAAATTTGCGGGGATCTACGAGCTCACACCGTCGGTTTACCGTATGATTTTCAGCGTTTAGGTCTTGACAAACAGAATTGTGGTTTCTTTTAAGGCACTCTTTGCTGCACCCAACTGGAAAATATGTGACGAGGCTACTGCAACCAACTGAACACAGCTCGCCTAATACGAGCCCAGCTCGTGCCAAACAAACCCCCATACTGCTCCCAACTACGCGCCCAGCTCAAGAAGCCAGTGCAAAATTGTATACATCAAACGTGTATAGCCGGAAAGACACACTTAAGAATGTGCGCGCCGTGTCAAAGTCCGAAGCTGAGCGCGTTTGGGGGCGAAGTTAGGGCGTTAAATTTTCATGTCATCCCTTCCAACCAGTACAAAAAAAAACCAAAAACATCACTCTAAGCAAAACAAAGTAATGGTGTATTGAACGCTGAGCACCTACAAGTTGTTGTACAACTGGTTCCTTACGCTTCGATAAGCATGCGTATGTAGCGGTATCGCAGAAGCTGTAATGTCTTTTTGTCCAGATACCCAAGTTGCTCAGCACCGCAGAATAGCCCAAACACCAGGAGCACATTCACCCCACAACTGTAACTGTCTGTTTGTACATCTAGTCCAGGATCGTAAATTGTACTGCAATATTCGCTTCTTCTTGGCGCCATCCTTCAGCAGCTCACCCACAGTCCCAACGACCTCGGGTTCCAGAGCTGTTCAATTGTGTGGATACTGCTCAGATGTGTGCTTGTGAAGAGGATGGTTATGCTTCAAGCGTGTCGAAGTTATCCGCAGAAAAAAATGTAGGTACCGTAGCATTGACAACTTGCACGCAAGCATTAATCTACGTACACAACACATGCATGCCATTAGACAATCTACCACCCAACTGATACAATGGTACCCAACTGAGACCCAACTCGGGGAAACTACATATATCGCACCTGCACATCGCACTCAATAGACCTCGACTGCTGTCGCTTCCTCTCCCCCTGTCCTCGGGCCTTGTACTTACCAGCATAGGTACATACAAATGTCTTGCCCTAGTAAATTCATTCATCCGGAAGAATTGGTTGCTTCGAGCCGGGGTTTGCTCGAATTGTTTTGCTCCGGACCTCGACTTTGTTGTTCGTCCGGAATCTAAAACACTATTTAGTCACAATAAACAAACAATTCATCAGTGGTTATGCCACTTGATATGTGAGTCATGGCTAGCAGCGATAACAAATACAGTCAAGTGTACCTGATACGTTTCCCTCGAGTACTGTTGAAGGTAGCCCTCCAGGTCTTCCCAAGAATCAAATTGAGTGCGCTGAAGGGATGGTGCCTCTGTTGTTTGCGGTGTGGAGACGCTCGAATCCGTGTGTACTGTGCTGGAAGTGGCCGACGACTCCTCAGTTGAATCTATCCACTCCTCATCGCTACACACGATACACTGAGATTCGAAGTGGTCGCTTCGCGGGCTTCCCAAGCTCCCAGCACCGGCTGCATTTGACGCGCAGCAGCCCGCGCTAGTGGCTTCCATACTGCTCTCGCTGTCACCCCCCCCCCCCCCCTCACTTTCGGAATGAGTGGTAGTTGACAATGATATACACGTATACATACTTGACGGAAATCGAAAATTCTGTCGACCGGGCCTCTTCTGGGGTAGGGGAAAATCTGGTCGCGATTTACGACGCTGAGTTGGGTGCACCTTCTTTTAAAGGCAACAGCCGTTTAGAGTGACCAGCATTTATTCCTACAAATACAGTGCCAACAGATCATTATTTGAGCAACAGAAAATAATTAGCGGCTCCCGTCTGATTCTAACGTGGAGGGCTACTGTCTTAAATCTATTATTTGTTGAGCTTCGTATAGGCGACAAGTCTCGTGGCAAATTGAAGGAACTTTAATACATTTTTGTGAATCCTGCGCTCTACGACTTGAAACTTGTATGGGTGGGTGAGTCGTTAAATAAACCTAAAACCCAACTTTACGAAATCCAAATTTAAAAAATTGCTTGTACTGTAACATTTGTAGTGGCAATGGAGGGCGTGAGCGGAGGCGGGCGCGGCAAAGGCAAGAAGAACAAGGCGGCAAAGAAGAAAGCAGTAGCAGCAGCAGCCGCTGCCAACCAGAAGAAGGCTACAGTCGGAGCGAAGAAAGTTGTCTCCAGCCATCCCCAGATCGTGTCTGCTGCGCCAGAACCGGCCACTACGTCTCACGATCAACCCATGACCAAGTCTAAACGTAAACGGCTGAAGAAACAGGCCGCTGCGGAGGCTTTAAAGGCTGCTAAAAGGTCCCCCACAGCAGCGTCAGCGCCTCCAAAGGCGAAAGTGGCTGTGTTGACACCTCCCGCTGCTGCGGTGAAGCCGCACGTGGTGTCACTGACGGGCAGCAAGAAGAAAAAGAGGAAATTGAGTGCAATACTAGATACTAGTGTTGAGGACGTGGCTAGCACAGCGCTAGCAGCCTCTCCGAAAGAAGGACAGCTGGTGCAGAGCTCAAAGACGAAGAAGAAGAAGAAAGTCGCTGTGTTGGGAAGTGCTGGAGCACCGCCTAGTGCAGGTATGAAGTCGAAGACTGCAGCAAGTCCCAATAGTAGGCCACAGGTCCACAAAAACGAGAGTGCGTCGACGTCAGTGGGCGCGAGTCCGCTTAATATGGTCAAGAAGGCGAAGGCCAAGTCTAGTGCGACTGCACCTTCTGGTCCCTTGGTACAAGAAGAAGGTCGTGTTGTTGTGAAGGTGGTAGAAGTAAAGCTAGATGCCAAGGAACCCGAGGGAAACACAACGTCGGAAACCAAAGCCACGAAGCCAGAGAAAGGGACGCAAAGTGCTCAGGTGCGCTTGGTTTCTGAAGTTTTGTCACCGTGTTACGTCGAACTGTTATCATTGATATTTTTTTTTCGTTTCGCTTGACGTAGGAGACACAAACGAAAGAGATAAAGACGACACTGAAGACGAACGTGAAGGTGAATATCCCACTGATAACTGCGAGTACAAAGGAAGAATCGACACCCGATAGTGCGACAATCGCGTCCATGGATACTCGTGATAGTAAGTCGCTATTCGAATCAAAGGTTGCAGTCATGGCTCCTACTGTGTCGACAAACCCATCGCAACTAACCCCGACCGCTGCAACTGGAGCTACAAGCGTAACCTCCAAGTCTGACGGTACTTCGGCCACGTCTGCTTCTCAACAGCAAGTAGCAATGATGAAGCCTGCACCGGCAAAGACTAGGGCTTCGGATCATACGCTCCCTCCCAGTGGCAGCCTCAAGCGACGGCGGTCTATTGACCACACATCCGCCAGCTCTAGCGCTGACTCGTTGCAACCACCGGCCAAACGCAATTCAAGTAAAGTCGGCGTCGTTCAGTCCAAAACAGTGCAACAAACTGGATCTAGTGATGCTCAGGTGCTCGCCGCTAAGAAGCTTGCTCAAGACTCGTTGCTAAGTTCTGAGATACAGCGCACACAGCCCGCAGAGTCTTTTGTCAGTGTCAAGGAACCTCATGCTACGGCGAAAACTGATGCAGCTATAGCAGTACCTTCGGCCAAGCTACCCTCGACATCATCTCAACCACTGACACCGTTGCCAAGCAATTGCGAGTCAGTGAACAGACAAGTCATCGCAACAAGTAAACACTCGAAGAACGTCTCGTCTGACAGCAAGACACCTTCAAAGCAGATCCAAGTTGCCACATCGAAAGCTGCTCTGCCTGTAGCTAAACAGGCTGAGCCAAAAGCCACAGGTGTGTCAACAAAGAAGGCTGTTGGCTTTGCTTCTGCGACGAAGGCTTCCTCTTCCAGTACTGAGATTAAGAAGATGGGTATCATCATGGACAGTCACGCGTATGTGGAAAAGATGATGAGAAGCGATCGACAACCGCGAGCGCTGGATACCAATTACAGCCGTCGTCCTGAATACCCGACAGAGACTCTGCCAGAACGTCCTCAAAATGCGTGGGGTGCGTCGTTCGGCATGGTGCCATCAGCTCAGGGTGTGTCTCCAGCCCCACGGACGCTGTCAACTACACCGTTAAGCTCCTGGTTTCTCTCCAACGGCTGTGCGAACTTCGTCAAGCAAGTGCATTTCTCGGATGACGACGCTGACGTCAGTGACGATGACGGTAATATTTTGACTGAACAACTGGCTTCTCCTGGGATCGGCAATACTTCACCCAAGAGGAGAGGTTCAACGACGAAAAAGAATTCTTTCTTGGAGTCACTCACAACGCAGGCGAGCTGGCGGACCTGGTATGGCAACGTGGACACTCACAATCTACTGGATCCCGCGCTGACTCATGTGCCGGAGAATGTGCGTGTACACGACGTCAAGCCTCTCGCTCTTCCAGCTGAAGGCAGTGCACCTTCAAAGAAGACCAGCGAACTCGAGATGTTGGAAGCTGACATCAGGTACGTCTTGTTGATACTTGGAAACTCCGTCGTGGCTAACAATTTGTTGTGTTTCCTTGTCGACTGGTTGTGTAGACGAGAGAGAAAACGAGGCTCGGCATTCAGCCAGCAGCTACTGATGATGCTTCAAGGTAGAACGGTGTCGGGGAAGCTACTTGAGGAGGAATATAAACCGGTATTGCAACAATAAAAACATGCAAGTACTGGCTGATACTTATTAAACCGGTATTACAGCAGTAAAACATGCAAGTACTGGTCGGTAACTTATCTTTTCAAGTCGTGGAGCCATTCAAAGTGAAAGGTGAAGTCGGCACCTAATACAACAAACCAGCGTAAGATATTTTACTGTGATCGTATACTTTTGCGGAAGGTCCTTGAGCCAATTCGAAATGCAGTAAAATCACAATTTCCAGGAAAAAATTCGCCTGAACGAGGTACATTTGCGTTTGGAGCGCAAACGCGAGTTGATACAGCGGCGAGAAATTAAATTTCCTTTGCAAAAAATAATGTAAAAGCAGCAGCGACCCAACTTCATAAACCAGAATATTCACGATAGCTGTCGCTCCCCAGTTGGTTGATGCGGGATAATAAACGGCGTTCGGCAGCTGAAGGAGCACCAACTTGTACGTGGTGAATACCAGAGGAACGACGCACTCGGTGTACTCAACCAGAGCCAAGTATTCGCAGTGAAAAAGCAACTGAAGTCCTTGTTTAACCAGTTGTCTGGACTGTTCACCCCGTTTAAACTGCACGCTGCCTGTTTTAATTGTTGCGTTCACGCCACTTGGTACTATTGACACGTTTTTTCCGAGCCCGAAAAACGATCGTTGTTGTGATTTACGACGGGGACGGCTATGTTTTCTCGAGGAAATTAGTCCTCGTGGACCGTACAGACCTGATGCTTCTAGTGCATCCATTTGTTTCGCTTGATCGACAGTCATACGATGGGGTAAGCACGCCCACAATCGTATCTGTTTGAGCGAAGTTACATGAAATGCACTCGGATTTCTCGTAACAGAGGAAATCCTGGTGATAAGGTTCGGCATCATCACTTCAGCTTTCTGATTCTGCGTTGAGGACCGAAGGATGTTTAGCACAGCGGTCGAATTTGCTTGTACCTCGCGGAATTCCAGCAATGTCTGCCCCACATCTGTGGCGATAAACAAAATGGAGAGGTACAGCGATCCGGAAGTAGAGATGCAGACGGAAATGAACAATGCACTGAATAGATCGACCGACAGAGCGACGATCTCCGGCACGAAATCCTCTACTTGTCGTGAGCACCACATCATAAAATGTTTCGCCGCGAATTTCCACAACGGCAATGCAATGAGAGCACCGTCTCGACAATGCACAGGTGTCAGTTCGTACACTACTTTGAATAGCGGATATACTCCAGCAAGCGCCACGAATCCAATGACTAAGCGGATATACCTCTGAAAATGAAGACGAAAAGGTGAATCGGTTTGAAACGGAGCGAAGCCCAGCACGAGCACGAGCATGAGTGGCAGATAAAATCCGAGTAATAGACCTCCAAACTGCCAAATGAACGGGATCGGAAACCCCACCATGTACTTCGCTATGCCTAAGCAGGACCCAACGTATCCGACTGTGCAACCGAATGAGACGATGATTCTCTTCGGCAGAGTAAAGCCGAGCTTTGGAACGAACAAGATTAAGTCGGAGACCCCCACTAGTGTTAACGTAAACACCATTAAACTTAATCGAATCCAGAGCATCCAGTTGGCAGCCCACCCTTCAGACGGAGGTCGTAGCGGCAGACATTCTAGCAGCAGCAAGAAAATCAATGCAAGAAGTGGTGTGAATACGCATAATAGGTAAGCACGAGAGCTTGATGTGGTTTGGCAGTAGTGATTAAAGCTTTCGAGGCGCTCCACAGAGTAGGAACCTTGCCGACCAACTTGAATTCCGTTCCACTTTTCTTCGAGTCGATTCCAAGACGCAGTACACGGGGGCATTCGATGACGTTTAGTACTAAACATTTCCTTTCCACGCCCTACAAGAATCATTCGCCACCTTCACACGCATTTTTTTTCAGCAATGCCAAAGGATAAGTGATCACTATCGTGGAAACTATTTTTGCAGACTTAGTACTACCTCCGCTCGGAAAAAGATACTGTAGTAACCATTTGTTTTTTTTTTGCGCAGCGCTCCGCCTCGTTCATTTGAGCGTTTATTAATTTGTGAGAGGCTGGCTAGCTAGCTTTATGACCGAGAGCTGACAGTGAGAAACTAAGCAAGGCACAGGCGTTCATGCTCCTACAGATACAAAAACGGATCTAAGACGGCAACTACATCGAAGGGGCGCTCATTGGGGCTTCTGGAACTTCAGCGGTAGGCGGTGGGGGGGGGGCTGCTCGCTGCAAGAAGCAGCATGTACGCGTTAGCATTGGCGAGTGAGATAGCGTCACAAGGCAGTGACGTAGGGAGAGTGCCAGCTCGTACTTGCTTGTCCTTGTGCAAGTGTCCGAGACGGTAATGATTATCACCTTTGCAGTTCATAACCTGCTCCATGACGTGTTTGCAGAGTCAAGAACGTTTTGGTAAGCGTGTCCGCTGTAGTTTCTCCAAAAGCTTTCTCCACTTCCCTGATGAGGCCTTGGGGTGTTCGTGGTATTGTCTGCGACTGCAGCGATTGAATGCTGGCAAAAAAGCCCAGGTCTAGGCAGTTGAAATCAGGACTTTGTGCAGGCTGGTTCCGCAGCGCGATGTTCCAGCCATCCGAGGACCCTGCCGCGTTAACGTAGTCATCATCCTCTTGGACGTGGGGCCGAGCGTTATCTTGTTGGATGCGAATGGCAACACCCTTCTGCTCTTGCGGCCACTTTGCTTTGATAGCAGGAATTACGTCGTTCACCAGCATCTGACGTGAAATATCCCTTGTTATTGAGACAGGTCGCAGTTCTTCCACGCCAGCAGGGCGATTCACACTTGCCCTTTGAGTGATGTAGCGCTCTACAACAGGCCAGAGACTGCCATTACAGTTTCCTCGGGGTCGCGCAACAGCACACAAAAACATCACCTTCATGATATAGCGTTTGCTCTGCACGAACTGAACAGGAGGATCCTCGAGCGGTACTTCATCTTTCCCATTCAGTAAGTAAATACTCTGCCCAATCTTCTTAATGTAGAACCACTTCTCGTCAATATGCACGACGTCAAACATTGGATCAAACACGTAATCCCCCCTTCCGTTAGGTCGAACGTGGTCCACACAAAACCGGAGGCGCACCAACTTGTGCGTGGGTGTAAGTAGTGGACGGGTCTGTCTGAGCGCACGCCGTATGTAGCATTCCTTGATCAGCTGCTGAACCAGGTAGCAGCTCATGTTGGACGCGCGCTAAAGCAGACGCTGGGTTTCGCGCTCATTGACAGGAACTGCAGCGATTCTCTCGCACAGCTCAGCTCGATTGACCTTCTTCCTACCACATGCGCTCTTCCTTGACTTGACCACGGCTGCTACTCGACCTCCCATCGAATTGATTCCACGCCTCCAAATTCGTTCGACAACTTGGCGGCCCACACGGAAGTACGCTGCAACCCGAACGATCTCTCCATGTTTGAGCACTCCTCCCACGCTGCGAAGCAGTAAGGACTCCCAGACGGCCTGGCGCTCACTGTCTGTGATCTCCCCCAGGTGCCAGCTTTTAAAATGAAAGCTGGGAGCGGGAGCCAGTCTGGTCGGGAAAGCGCGGGAGATTCGAAATCCAAAAAGTGATCGGCATAGAGGGGGTATTTTGTTGGGTAGGCTGTAATATAATTTGAAATGGTTATCTTTTTCAGAGCGGAGGTAGTACTATTTTTAAATAGTACCGGCAATAATATTATCAAAGACCGTTTAAAGTGACCTCACCAGTGACAAATAATGTGAGCTCCGACCAAATTTCCGTTCTGGATTAGGGTTTCAAAATTTGCGTTTTTTAAAAAAAACGGCCCCGCACTCGCAGATATCACGTAAAACTCGTGCTACACACCAGAATGGTGCGACACTTTCCGACAAACATTAATTGAGCTCAGTACTTCTTATGTAGTGTATGGTATGGTGGGCAGCAATTCCCCGCTTCACCGTTCAGTGCATGCACTCATTATTTCTGCAAGGTACATTGCTGGTCGCAATTCCGGATTTGACGAGGATTACTATGTCACAATCGCGATTTTAGAACCTACAAACACAGTTTTATACTGAGCCACACTTATCGTGATATCTTGTAAAGCCTCAATTTATTAATACCTTTTAACCCTTTCGCGGTAAATAGTGCCAAAGCAGCACTTTTTGAAGATTTCTCAAAAGCCGCTACTAAAAAGTGCGTTAAAAAGGCTGTTCTAGTACCATTTGCTTTTAACCAATGGAACGCAAGTCAGTTACGGATCTTGAATGAAGAGAGTGGAATGAAATAAACTTATGGCTATAAATACGGGAATAGCCATTCGAGAAGAATTGCAGTCGAGTCGAACAGTATAGTGAGCGGAAGATGTATACCGATATCGCCCGCTGACTACTACAATGCCTCAGACCACATTCCTTGACGCAGAAGATAAGATGTTAGTCCAGCTCGCTCGCCCGTATGCCGATCGAGGAGAGCGTATTGACTGGGCTAAGGTGTCTAGCCGTATGAAACGGTGGCAGCGCTCGCCAAAAGCTTTGTCAAAGCGGCTGAATGCACTTAAGCGGACATACGGGAAGAGCCTAGCTGTAACGGGCCTAGAGTGTCCGTTACTAGCTTACACGTAATAATGAGGAAGCGTGCAAGTTCCGCGATAGTGAAACCAAGTGCTTAGTCTGAAGGAAAATCAACTCTGTTTTTATTTAGGTCCAGGGCAGCTTGCCCTGACCACTCAAATACACGTCAAACCCTTATTGGGTGATAATGGGTCTGGCTCCCCATATATCAACCAATAGGATGACGGCAGTTCAGCACACGCTAGCCGTGTGCTGCTGCACCTACTTTTGTAATATAAATCTACCTACTTATGTAATGGCGTGGCCCACTACATCACCCCCCTCTATAAAGTTGCACTTACGCAACATAAGCGACGGGCGGGGGAACAAATCAATCAAAAGGGAAACAAGAAGAAAAATCGTGGCCAACAGGAACGATCGAGGCGGGGACGAGACAGATCCTGCGCCACGCAGGAGAAGTACAACACGACTTGCACAGCAGACAACAG